AAAAAAAAAAAAAAAAAAAAAAAAAAGAATATGCACTGGAGGAACGGCAACCTTTTTTAATAAATGGTATTGGGAAAATTGGATATCTACCTATAGAATAGTAAAACTGGACCCAGATCTCACACAGTAACAAAAATCAGTTCAAAATGGATTAAAGATAATACTTTGCCTGACTTAAATATTATATAAAGTATAGGCGTATCAAAATATCACACGATATCCATTAATATGTACAATTTTTGTACTTTAGACATCTAAAGTCTAAAATATTTTCTTGGGCGACCGGGGTTATGGCTTAGTAGAGTAAGTGCTTCCCTGGCAAGCGCAAGGGACTGAGTTCAATCCCTGGTTCTGCCAAAAAAATAAAATATTTTTCTTGGTATTGGGGGTTGGACCCAGAGCCTTGACACTGAGCTACAGCCCCAGCTCCCCTCTTTTAAAATATTTCCTTTTGAAACAGTCTGTTATGGTTTATGTCTAGTTGTCCACCCAAAGCCTCATGCAGGCATGGGGTGGACTCTAGAGTTTGTTACTAACTCATGATCCATGGGGATTATGGGTGTGAGTGCTGCTGGGATTATGTGTGTATTACACCTAGCCTGGGGCAGACAGCCTGAATGCAACATAAGGAAGACAGACTTGCTCTCTGCAGTCATTGTTGCTGCTGCTCCTTCATTTGCTCTCTGCTCTTTGCTGCCATCATGCACGGTTGCTCTCTGCCATGTGTCATGCTGTCTTGAAACCAGCTGAATGATGGTGGACTGAAAATTCCAGTAACTGTAAGCTAAAGAAACTTTTCCTTCCTTCATTCTAAGTGTCAGGTATTTTGTCTCTGCAATGAGAGAAGAGTAACTGAGACATGACACAGTCTCACTAAATTGCTAAATTACATGTGTGATATTTTTGCTTCAGCCTTCTAGAGTACTCATCTTGGGAGAGGCCGTTCAAAACTTGCACACATATTAACAATGTCATGACAACTTCTTAAATCTTCCAGGGCTGGTGAGATGGCTCAGTGGTCTAAAGCACCCACTTAGAACAAGCTAAGCTAAGCAAAGCATAGGGACCGCAGTTCAATCCCCCAGCACCACATGCCAGCCAGCCCCGCCCCCTGGTGGGCTGAGCTGGCCACACACACACACAAAATAAATAAATAAATAAACAAATCTCCCTAGTGTGAAATAGTGCCATAATTCCTACTTGTGTTCATTATGCAAATTACAGATATACAAATGTAGATAAACATTTAAACAAAAACACTTCTAAAAATTACAGAAAAACTATGTGGATGCTCTTAATGTTCTAACTTTACAAATTAAAATTAGAAGAAGATGGGCGTGGTGGAGCATACAACTGTAATCCCAGCACTTAGGAGGATGAAGCAGGAGGATCATTGCCAGGACGTCAGCTTGGGCTAGGGAGTGAGTTCAAGGCCAGCCTGAACTATAGCTAGATCCTGAATCAATCAATAAAAACTAAAAGAAATTTTTTGGGATCACATAGGAGGCAAATGGTATAAGATCCAAACCCTTACCTGACTTTTCTATGCACCCTAATTTTAACCACTATGCTGCTCTGTGTGTCTTTTAACCATAAACTCACTTGTAAGACCTTATTATACAGAAATAATTGGAAATAGGACCAGCCAGATAGCTCAGCGGACTAAAGCATCTGCTTTTTTTTTTTTTTTTTTTTCTTCAGTACTGGGGATTGAACTCAGGACCCTGTGCTTGCCAGGCAAGTGCTTGTTCTACTGAGCTATCTCCCCAGCCCTAAAGCATCTGCAGTGGTTCAATCCCCCACCTGTGATGCTGGCCCCTCTCCCGGGGCGCGCTGAGATGGCAATTGAGACTGGGCATGGTAGTGCATACTTATAATCCCAGCGCTTGGGAGGCTGAAAACAGGAGATTCACTATGAGTCCGATCTGTATAGTGAGACCCTGTACTAATTAAAAAAAAAAGAAAAGAAATAATTGGAAATACTAACAAAAAATTTAAGCATAACAGTGTTATAAGCATAGCATTTCTAATGTAAGAAACAACAAAAACAGCTTGGGAATGGTGGCACCTGTTTATAATCTCAGCACTCAGCAGGGTGAGGCTGGGAGTTTAAAGGCAGTCTGGCTTTATGAGCTCAAGGCCAGCCTGAAGTACATATTGAAACCCTGTCTCTAAAAACAAACAAAACAAAACCAACCAGCCAATCAACCAATAAACCAAAAACAAAAGAGGAAACATCTCCTTTCATTTTTGAACAAATATTTACTGGGTATCTACTATACATGAAGGATTATGCTAGGCACCTAGCTACAACAGTGAATAAGACCTGTTGTTTGTTTGTTTGTTGATACAAGGTATCCCTATGCAGTTCAGGCTGGCCTTGAAATCACCACGTAGAACCAGATTGGTCTCCAACTCACAGCTATCCTCCTGCCTCAAGTACTGTGATTATTGGCATGCATCACCACACTGGCCAATAAGAACTATTTTCTTGGCCTTTATTTTTTTAGTGGGGGAAGAGATACGTGAAATTGAACTCATGACCTTGTGCTTGCCAAGCAGGTGCTGTGCTGCTGAGCTATATCCCCAGTCCTTTAAGATCTAGTTTCTAAGAATGTCAGAATAAGCGGCAGAGGAGGAAAGATGAAGGGGACAAAACGATCAAAGGTTAAACAGACTCAACAAATGCTAGGAGAAAATACTGAAAATATGATGGCAATAGATGGTAAAACACCTTATCTAGGGAAAGAGCTTTGCAGAGAAGTAAATGCTTAGTGCAAGACCTGCAAAACAATAAGAAAGTAGCTAGAACAGAGAAGGAAACAAACTACATAGTGGAATAGTCTATGCAACACTATTTTATTCTTTATAAAAAAATAAGAAAGAGGGCTGCATCTGGAAACAAGATTTTATAAAGCTAAATCCAATTGTATAAGACAAGTAACAAGAAATAAAATGAGGCATATTAGGTTCAGGGTTTTTATTTTAATTTTATTTTTAAAACTTTTTTTTTTTTTTTTTTGGCAGAACTGCCCACCCTGGGGACAGGGCTGGCAGAGCATGTGGTGCTGGGGATTGAACTGAGGTCCCTGAACTTTGCCTAAGCTTGCCTAAGCAGGCATTTTAGACCACTGAGCTATCTCACCAGCCCCATTTTTTTGTTTTTTTGAATCAGGGTCTCACTATATAGTCTAAGCTTGGCCTGGAACTCATAGAGCTCCTGGCTTGGCCTCCCAAGTGTCAGAATTACAGGTGTGTACCACCACGCTCAGTGAAGGCTCAGTTCTTGAACGCCTCATGAGCTAATCAGGGAGTTTAACATTTATCTTAAAAACAGTGAGAAGCCCCTGCAAGACTTTAAATGGGGAGTCAACCAATCAGTTATGACTCTCCACATTTAGAAAGATCACAAGCGCAGTGATGTTCAACTTTGCATACATGTTAGTCATCTGAGAAGCTCTTGAAAACTTCTTTTGGGGTCAGAGAATGCTGTGGACTAAAACTCCCTGATGCCCAGAGATTGAGTCAGCTGGTCCAAAGCACACAGGTGTTTTAAGGGCCTGAGTGATTGGCAAGGTGGCTACAAGCTTCCAGTGGTGATATGTGGAATGGCTGGACAGATGCAAGAACCATGGCTTCCTGTCACTGTAGTTTTGTCTTTTCTAGAATTTCACACAGGGCTGAGGAGATAGCCCAGTGGCATAAGTGACTGCCTGACAAACACAAGGTCCTGAGTTCAATCCCTGCTACTGCTATGCCTGGCAAGTGCAAGGTCCTGAGTTCAATCCCTGGTGCTGCATCTTGCCAGCCCCAAAACAGAGGATGGTGGTACAAGCCTGTAATCCTGGCACTAGGGAGGATGAGACAGGAAAATCACGATGAATCTGAACTGTATAGTGAGACTGAACCCCTCCCCCCCAAAAAAAAATTCAATTTCACAAAAATGAATGATGCAGTAGGCAGGCTTTTGTGTTTCACTCAGCATAGTAAAGACTTGCCTGTGTTGTTGTGCATATTACATTGATACTGTGTTCCCTTTATTACTTAGTAGTGTTCCATAGTATGATTATATTGTAATGTGCTCACCCATTTACAATTTACTGTCTAATGGACCCTTGAGGTGCTTCCAGTTTGGGCTATTTTTAGCCTAAACTCTGTATAAAACTGTTTTCTCTGCTTTTGGGAAATATCTTGAAGTGGTTTTATCACATCATACAATAGGTATATATTTAACTTTGCAAAATCCTACCAGATTCTTTTTCATTGTACCTATACCATTTTATAGTCCCTCCAAAAGATATGAGTGTCCCACTTGCTTGATGCTTTTTGGTTCTTCTCAGGACAGAGTGGTGCTATATAGCGGAGACTGGCCTTAGAATCATGACCTTCCTGCCTCAGCTTCCCAAGTCCTAGAATTACACGTGTGCCTTACTACCTTGGCTACTGGTATTATTTAACACAGGCTAATTTTAAGATTTCTCAGAAATACTTTCTGATTTTTAAAACACAGGTTAAACTACATATTTTAAGACCTATAAAACATATAGCTTTCCAAGATATTTACATTTTTTAAAATCAGACAAAGCAGTTCAAATTTACCTTGTAATGATCTCATTCTCTTACTGTATTCTTACCTGAGCTGCTCAATTTTCTCTGGTGTAATAGGACTCTTCCCCAAAACCTGGTCTATCTCTTCATACAGCTTTTTTTGAACTTCTTCACAAGTGGTTAAAAAACAGACTGCCCAGGTACACACTATGTGAAAAAAATTACATTAATAACAATGAAAACAGCTAATTCTTGGTTTGGGGCTAGAGTACAAAGAAACTGGTTTTGTTTTCCCCTTAATTTTCTGACCCTAGATATATGTGACAAGTAAATACTACTCAAAAATAGAACAACATTCTTCATAGAACTTGCATGTCCTGAAATGGAATGTGAATGTTTGTAGAATGATACCATACAGTTTGGATGCTTTCTTGTATCTAGCGAGTAACTAGTCAATTAATACACACTTCCTTAGAAAAAACAGTAATGACATTTTACATCTGGGGAATGTTCAATGCTAGTGATAGTGATGAATTATCTATTTCACTGAACCTTGTAAGATAAAAATTTGATTAATAAAATGATCCACACAAATCAAACCAGCAGATTTATCTAAGTGTTGGATTGTAAATGTGTCACTTGTAATGGTAAACATACTAGCTCCTGAACTGTGATTGATTACTGCTTAGGATAGAGGCTCTAAAAAACCACCCAGACGTAGCTAATGCCACAACTTCACATCCATCATTTATTTTGGCAGGTTTGGGTAGAGACCCAGGAATCTGTAGTCTTAACAAAACTACTGTTGTTTTGATGGGAAATCATTGGCTTACGGCTTCTTTTTGCTTTAAACTGATTTATGGATTATATTCACAGAAGGAATGGAAATGTGAAGAATGCAGTTATAGGGCTGAGGAGATAGCTCAGTAGAATAAGCACTTGCCTGGAAAGTCAAGGTCCTGAGTTCAATTCCCAGTTCTGGAAAAAAAAAAAACTTTAAGGGGGTCGGGGAGATAGCTCAGTAGAATAAGCACTTGTCTGGCAAGCGCAAGATCCTGAGTTTAATCCCCGGTACCGCAAAAAAAAAAAACAAACAAACAAAAAAAAAACAGTGGTTATATTTCCTTTATGAAACCACTGGGATTAAAACTAGTCCCTTTGGCTACATATACTATTTTTCCCTGGAATATACTTAAAATAACACTATAGCTTTACTTTTTTTTGTCAAAAAAATTTTAACATACTGAAAGTAATTTTTGTCCCTACTTACCAATTATCTCTTAGCACAGTAAATGGAACCCAAATGCTCTACCTTCCACAGCCCCCAAATGTAGTCTTTTATTAGATGCAATAAACATTTAGTAGTTGGCTAGGTGAAGCAACAAAGCCTGATTCATTTTTACTATTAGTATCAGTAAAATCAATAACTATGTAGTACTCAATTATTCATAAGTGACTCCGTGACTATAATGCTTCCCTACATATGCTTCTTCCTCATGGCTTTTGAGTGGACCATAAAATTTCTATTTTGTAAGAGATATGAAAATGTGCACAGTGTACAATACGTAGTATAATTTTACAACATATACTAATATACAACTGAAGGAATTAGCACAAGGGTTGTATAGAGTAACTATTAATACACCCTGTTTACACTATCACCACTTAAAATAAATATAACCATTTTAGTTTAATAATCTCAAATAGCTTTTTTTACTTTGTTTTTGCATACTCATTACAATACTAGAAACAGAGTAACAATGGAATCTGAAGAAATTTAAAGGCAGTATTGGGAGGGCTGGGGAGACAGCTCAGTGGTATAAGCCCCTGCCTGGCAAGCGCAAGGTCTTGAGTTTGATACCCGGTACTGCCAAAAAGAAAAAAAAAAAAAGGCAGTACTAGGGACTGAACCCAGAATCCTGAGAATGTTAGGCAAGCACTCCAGTGCTGAGCTACATCCACAGACTCCTGTCCCCTTTGAACTTTACTCTGAGTCAAGGTCTTGCTGAGTTTCCCACACTGGCCTCAAACTTGCAATCCTTCTGCCTCAGCCTCCTGATTACTTGAGATTATGTGTACTACTGTGTAACCACCTCAGGAGAGCTAAACATTTCTCTTAAGAAAACAAAAAATGCAGATGGAGGCTAATATTAACTAGCAGAGCAACCCTTTTAATTAATGTTTTTGGATTTCCAAAAACTTCAGAGGCATCTTGAAATGAACTTTTTGAACTCTGAAATAAAATTCCTGAAACACTACTTTTCATGGTATTCAGAGCACAAAACTGATTTAGATTCTTTGAAGATCTTTAGCAAAGATATGTTTTTAATATATTTTTTAGAACATATAAGCATTTTTTTTT